GTATAATGTGGTAGCGCAGACAATCAGTAGTTTTTAAAAAACCTGTTTGTGAAATTTAAAAGCTGGAAACAGCCGTGGATTTTCTTGAGTTAACCATCAATCCATAGGGAGAGTCGATTCCTTTTTTTCAAAAGGAGGAACGGAAAACATCAAAAGTGGATTAAAATAAAGAGCGTTATCGATTACTGACGTCATTACACACTCTTTCTAGTTGCAGATTTTCGTTTCTCATTTGTTTCTACGCCAACTGTTTTCACATGGTTACTGTACTTTTAAAAAAAAAACGTAATGGGCGCGTGTGGCGTAGTGGTCGGAGGCGCTTTGCAGCACACACGTGGAATCGATCCCCGCTCCCATGGTTCATCAAGCCTTCCATCTGTCCGGGGTCGGCAAATTGGTACCAGACTTGGCTGGGAGAATAGCAGCACTGGCTCGATACATCGGTAGGCCACCGCGAGTCAAATATGGATTCAGTCTCCTCCAAACGATGCTTAATGAAGTCGAATGCATGGCGCATCCCTGAGGGATTTATCAACGCCGTGAGCTTCATTCATTATTCTACTGTACTTTCATGCGGAGAATACGGTTACAGAATACAGAATGCCTTTGGATTTAAGATCACGGTTGTCTTCGTCTGCCAAAAAAAAGAACTGGTTAAGCAAGTTTTTGCTTTACAGTGCAAATATTGGGTCTAAGGTGTGAGCACTTGTGTTTAAGCTGCCTACAAGCAGTTGTTTCCACGTATTTATAAGTGAGTTATGTAGGAAACTGAAATGTTCTATGTTAAGGCTTTTACTTCTTGCATTTACTTGTCCCTAGCGGGCTCACATGTAGTACCGTGGAGTGTTATGAGAAACAATAAATCTGAAGAAAAAAAAATGAAAGGCTTTGTCGTCCTCACGTAAATCTGCGGTATATCACGTTCCGAACGGTTTTGTTCTCATCTTTATGGTCAAAATTACAAAGTGTCAAACGAAAACTCGTCCACCACAACTGTTTCGCCGTTGTTTGATACGCACATCACTTAGTGGTTATTTTATGGTTGTAGAGTTTCTTGTTTCTTTTGTCACAAATATTTTCTTCACCCGATGATTATCGCTCACATGAAACTCTGTGGTAAACATCTCTACTATTTGTCAACAATACGTCTATTTTACTGTTGGAGAATTACTTTAAATATTTATTTTCGTAAGGGCGCGTGTGGCGTAGTGGTCGGAGGCGCCCTGCAACACACGCATGGAATTGATCCCCGTATTTATACCCACCAATCCTTCCATCCCTACGGGTTCGGCAGATTGGTACCAGATTTGTTTGGGAGGATAGCAGCACAGGCTCGATACATCGGTAGGCCACCGCGAGTCATTGTAAAGGCCAGATATGCTTTGAGTCACCTCCAGCGACGCTTAACGAAGTCGAATGCATGGCACATCCCTCAGGGATTGGTCAACGCCGAGGGCCTTACTTTTATTTATTTATTTATTTATTTTCGTGATCCCTTCATTCATTTTTCACCTTCTGCCCTTAAAATACTTATTTATTATATTTTTGTTCCGAAATATCATTTAAGGCGATGTTCCTTGTGTGTACATGTCTGCGGCAGCTTGGACATCTTCGTATTTCTCGTTTTTCTTCTTTTTTTATGAAAAACAACTGTATCGAGTTGCGAATGATTTTCAACAGCGACCTTTAATTGCTATAACTCAGTTCAAGCCCTACTTTATTAACTAGAATAAGAATAATTACATACATCGCAACATCGCAACTGTACTCATCGCTGGCAACAAGAAGCTTTATGTGTTCTCATGACTTAAAACGAGCAGTTAGCCCAGTGGCAGTGATTCCGTTCATTACGCGGACCGCTCAACATCGCCAGGTTTGATCCCGCCTTGGTCCACCAACTTTCTCATCCCCTAAGTTCGAAAAATCGGTTCCTGACCTGACTGTAACAAGCTCGTTCTGCATGAACCACGTGGGAACGCACTAACACAGCTGTCTCAGGATTCCAGAAAGAATCGACTTGACCAGCATTAAAGACATTTATGAGGAAGACGAACAAATCTTCAAGCAGCAGGCGGTGACCGGCAAAAAGTTCAAACTTTCGTGGACCTACGGAAGGAGATCAACGCAAGATGTGCTGGGATCAGCGCATTGTGAAGTCTGGTCATGTAATAAAAATGATGAAATAATTGGTTAGGATTCTGATGTTCCCGAAGTGTTGAGTTTTTCCAAAAGGACCGTTCTTTTGAGAAGTTTAGTTGTAGAAAATTTCCTCGACTAGTAGCTGTGCAGTTGCTTGGAAAAATGGTAGTTGATTAACCAAAGATTCGATGGGAATGATGGATGCGGTAGGGTATCGTAGCTTAAGTCGTTCGTGTTGTGCAGCGTTAGTTGTCCAGAATTTTATACAAGAGTACTGGATCTTTTCCGTTGGCCATCTTTGTATAACTACTTCGCAGTTTTTCATAGGATTTCTGTGTTTACCATATTCCTCCTGGTTTGGGGACGAATAAATACGTTGTATTGGACGTCTTTCCATCTGCCGAGGAAGAAAAAAACCATGAAGTTACTCCTCTGGTAAAAATTTGACCTTGAAAATTGCTTAAGCACTACTTGAGAGCTTAATCTTGATTCAGCCATTGAGCTAAGAGCCCTCGGTCGTCGTGTAGAATGTATTTTCCATCACATGTCACAATGAATTCAATTAGTGGATCCGTTTTATTGTGTAAAAGAAGCGATAACGTTCTTGCTACCATCAGCTCACTTCCAGCGGGATCCATTTATCGAGCTTTTTTCACATTTCGAATGACTTCCAAATGGGGAACGATCATTAAATTCTGAATAATGAGCTCTCCGCAACCCATCCAGTGGTTTTTTGAGGGTCCAACTACTGGCTTCAGATGGTCGTCCTCAACTGTGATAAATGTCCACGACCTGTTTCTTCGTGGAGACTCCTATTTCCGCTGCGATACCTTAGCAACCATTTATGTTCATTATGAGGCCTTCACTGTTCGATATTTCGATGACATTTCGAGTTGCTACTATGGCGAAATATCAGAAATTGAAATGATTAACCAATGGACGCAGTTTTGTTCCTCTGAGAGAATTGATTCAGTCGGCCGAAAACTGTTATGAATTGCTTTCCAGATGAATATAATGTGATAAAGTACTAAGCGAGAAAAAAGCTCAAAAAATATAGCAAATACAATCACAATCGTGCGGAGATATTTGCAAAACTCCGGACCGCTGGTATCCGCAGTGGGGGACGAACGCGCTATTACCCTTTCCGGGGGTTGACGCGTTCAAAATTTGTTTAGAAATTTTTCTTAACGGCAAAAAAGGCTGTTATTTTTCCGCCAACCAAGTTGAAAGTTCTGGAATGCTTTTTCTCTGAGAGGGCCGACACGAGTGCCGTTCTGTTAACTTTCATCGACTAAGGACTGGATAGATCATTTAGAAAAGCCCTGTTTGAGTGCTCCCGTAAATGTACAATTACCGCATTGGTTTTTACTCGCCACTACCATAGAAAAAGGAACGATTCGATAATGTGAGACCATTCCGACAACGTTTTGGTGCTGTTCATTATAGCAATGTGATGGATAATGAAATCGCTTGGACAGATTGAAAGGGACATACGATATCGTGATTTGAAGCTGACGTTGATCAGGTACGCTCGCAACCAGACGTCGCCATGCATGAAGCTGTAGAAGACCTCGTTAGAGCTGCGTACTCAATGTTCCATTGTCTTAACCTTCTCAACCACAGATAGCCTTCAAATGTTTCCTGCAAGTGTGATCTATGCAGGTGGTCGGGTTGCATATGAGTTCAGCTTTAAGTTGAGGCTCTGCTCTCCTCCGCACTGATGTGCCGAATGTTAGCTGCCCTTGTTTTTTCTGGTTCCCGATGTAACCACGCTTGTTTTTCCTGGATTGCCGATGTAACCAAGTCGTGCGTTCCCAGGTACTTGTCAGAAGATTGGGGTGGATGTGTGATTTATACCCTTCTGGAACGATACTGAGTCATGCAGGTAGTTCGCCGAACTTGATCGAGGACGACGTTAACAGAACTAGTAAATTCTTTTAATTTATGGTCAGTCAGGACTAGTTATACATATCACTGACTGCTGCTATAAAGTTTTCCCTGACATTGTTCCTTGCAATACCGCCAATAGCTGCGTATTCTATGCTATAAATTTGTATGTTAAACTTTTGTCCCCTTCTGTGAAGATATGTCTAACGGCCGATAGTCAGATTTGAAGAATTTTGTGACCACTCTTGGAGGAACCAAAACAAAAATCAGTCAAACTGACACGGGGGATTTAATATCCCTTTTTATTTGCCCCGATATCACACATTGCGCCGTTCCTATCACTTCTTTTATTTGTTTCCTCGCGTCCTTCATCCACTAATGTTCCCGAATTTGCTTTGAATTCGGCTGTTCCCTGAGAATTCTTGGCCTTCTTTATAGGTGCCGTTGATGTCTATCGAGTTAAGTGCCACTGGAATTTTGCTGGAAGCCTTGCTATCACGTTCCTATTTCTTCAACACAAGCAACTGCTAGCCTGTTAGAGTCGGAGGAAGCTCTTTCCAGACAAGTTTGGTATCATTTGCACGGCCGTTGATTGGTCCGATGTGGGGGTCGAAACAGGGATTCGCGCGTACTAAACGGCATCTCTAACATAGCGTTACGCGAGCACCAGGAATTTGATAATGTGGCACAAATGTGATATCACACCTCAATGATATTGATCAACGTTGTGGACTCCATCCTTTTTATACTGGTATATTATTCTCAAAAACCTTACTAAGTCTAAGCTACAACATCACCATTCAAGAGCTGTACTCATAGTCTTCCCTTCTTCCCTATTGCGTTTATCGATCTGCCGTCTCTTTCCGTATTTTCTTCGCGTTTCCATTAGCCTACGTCCGATGACTGCGAGAATTTTAGGATTTTTTTCTGCGTCGTTACTCGATATTTTCCTATCCAGAAAGTTCGTATTCAGTATGACCAGCTTGGGTGTACTGAACAGACAACTACAAGATTTACCAAACTGGGGTAAAGCGGCTGTTGCTGGTGGTTTAGCCCTTGCTCTCTATATTCCCTACAAATGGCTCACAACTGCACCGAGGAAGAGTCCAGTGAAACAGGATTGGAAGAGCGGTAGGAATCTTTGCATTCTGTTTACTTAATTTTGAACGTGTATTCAAAGTAGTGTTTATGTCCGGTAATGACGAAAATAAACACTAAAACTGATTGAAGGAAACCGTTTTCGTATTTTTATCTGAATAGATTTGGATTGCGGATTACCTTATAACATTATTTACTACCTGTTTCGTTGTTTTTTGTCATTAACCCATTATCTCTAAGGACGCGGTAGTCGGTGGCGCCCTGCAATACATACGACATCGATACCTACGCTCCAAGCTCACCAAGCTTGCCATTCCTTCGAAGTCGGCAAATTGGTATCAGACTTGTCTGGGAGTGCCCTCGGCTCGATACACCACTAGTCATTCTAAAGGCCAGATTTGTATTCAATCACCTCCAACGATGCCTAATGAAGTCGAATGCATGGCGTATCCCTCAGGGATTGAACAGCGCCGAGAGCTTTTTTAGCTGTTAACCAATTATCCCTACTGACTTTTTAAAGTTTCTGTCGATTAAATCGTTTGAGACTAAGTAAATAACCACCAGTGTTTACAGTTGTCTTTCACATTTTAAAAGAGTTAGTGAAAAGCTATTTAGGGATCGTCTATCTCTATCAGTTTCCACGCACAAGGATCCTGCCAAGTCCGTCGGCTCCTTGTCTGAAAGTCGAAACGTGGCTTCGTATGGCGGAGATACAATATGAGGTGAATTTACAGATCTTTGTTAAGTCTGTTTGGAACGCACGCCTTCAGAGATCTCCTTTGCTAGGAGCTTTTTATGTAAAAAATTTATAAAGATTTTCCTCACTAAATTATCGATCATAGTCAGTTGAGATGTACCATGCACACCGACTTTATGAATGTTTTTTTATTTATATGACGTCATTCCTATATCATGTGAGTTCGGGAACTTTCATCCAGGACGTTTTGTTATACTTGGCATACACGAAGATCGGCTACGACTTGACGACTTTATATTTTCGACGAACATCGTCATGTGCTGGTCGAGTTGATTTTCCTTCCAATCCTGGATCTGCTTTCTATGCAACCCTAACTATAGAACGATCAAAGGTCTTCAGCACAAGCAGTAGCGATCTTCGCGCATACAGCGGAAGTGGTGACTGCTGATCTAATGATGTTGTTTCTGTGCACTCTTTCTTCTGTTTATGATTCTAAGGTAATGACAAAAAGTTATTGGTTTGATGACCACCCAGTTTCGTCAATGGATGACCATGTAGGTCGTACAGTCCTCTTCGTTCTGTTTTCGACTGAAAAAATCCTCGTAATACAAAAAAGTTACATCAGTAGTGTTCTCTAAGCTACTAGAGTCGAAATTGTAATGCTCAGGAAAGGTTAAAACAACTTTCCAGAACATTCCATGCTTCATATCGGTTCGTTCTAGAGAAGGCACCTTACCGTTCGTTGAGTTCGAAGGCGTCGAATATCCGGATTCCTCGTTTATTATACGGTTTGTGTGTACCTTATGTATTTTTTAGATCAATGGCACTACGTCTTATTTTGAAAGAAATTTTTTTGATTACACGGTCAATCGATCATTGATTGGTGGCACGTCGGTGATCTGAAACTTCATCGATTTCAGCGACCTTACACAAATTCTTGGCGTAAGGCTGGAGGATCATCTGAACGACGAACAAAAAGCAGTGTCAAGAGCTTTTGAAGAACTTGCTCACAACTCCTTACTGGTGTCACACAAATTGTTCAGACTAGAGCATGTTTCAGAGGTGCACAATATAGTTCTCAGTTACTATTCCCAGAATGGATCAATGGATCTTTAAGTTTAGTTTGCCGACTTATTACCGCCTGGTCTGTATGGTATTTTTCAACCACTAATTGTTGCTTTATTCAAAAGGAGATTTGTAAGGATGGTGAGTGATTCCAATCGTGCAGTTTCTCATAAGTTGCTCATCGTATGTATTCTCTCATAGACATTCCAACCTTACTGACCATAGATTTCATGAAAATACGTCGAAGGTGGGATGCGAAGACCCCAGTAATGGGCAATTTGTTTATTTCTAGTGGGGAGATTTCCTGAACGCTTTCTCCATTTTCAGTTAGGAATGGAATTCTTCGTCGAATTGCAATAGGAGACGGCTACAACGTTGGTAATCTCACTAAAGTAAATGGATTTGTGCTTGTTGTTCTATTAGGAGAGAAAATGATAACTGGACTAAAAAGACAACTAGGCGAATTGAAATGTACCGTACGAAGCCCACAGAACTTTAAGCACAAATTATACCGGTGACTCTAAATGCTAGTCCATTGCGTAGTTTAAAACCAGTAACAAAATTCTACATGGTTGTCCACAGCATTTTATTTATTTATTTATCCAGTTTTGTGTGCGTAGCTCACCATGGACGATATTTTGAAGACCTTTCATGCAGTTGATTTTATCGGTTGAAAACCAGTGTGAGCCTCTTGAGGGCTTGGCCCATCTGCATTCATTTTGTTGGTTTCCATAGATCTTCTCTTCGCATTCTCAGGATTGTGGACTCTACGGCCGTATGGCAGCGTTAGGTAGAAAATTAGCCGAGAGAAACAAAAAAGGAAGAAAAAGAAAAAAACAAGCGAAGCAATGGCTTCAGTGGTGCAGTGTATAAAACGCGAGCCGTCGGAAAGCGTAATCGTGATTTGATCTGGCCTGGGGTCCTGGTTTTGGGAATATTTCAGCATCATTGTGGTTATGTTCCACATCATACCCTGCCGTGAAAAATTATGTAGGCAGCAAGTAATACCATCTACTCCCTTATATTAAATTGCTTTTATCACAGACAACATCAATGCTAGCGTGGACTTCGATCGGTAAACATAGCCGCGAAGAACAAATCAGAATCGGAAGTGATGATATTCGTGCCATTAGCAAGTATCTCGGTTCCAAGCATTACTTTACCGGGTTCAAGCCAACACGGGTAGGTTGCCCCTTCTTATATGTGCTTAGGTTTTAAAAAATGACTTTTGAAGAATAGGCGTAGAATCGCGCTTTAGTTTGACGCATTAATGCTTGTTTTGATTCGTTCGTAAATTGAATCATATTATTACTAAAGTGCAGTGAAATACACAAATCAACAAATATTTAACATTGTGAAAAATGATTATAGTCGCATGTGGTTAACGACTGCACCATCCCACATCAAAAATCGACGCGAACATACGGGATCAGGCCGCGTATGACCTCCGGGCATTCATTCCTGCTATTCATTGTAGGGTTTTTGGCATTTATCTAAAAAGCCCCAAGGAGTTTTTGCGCTGGTGTTTTGGACTCCTGTGCAAGGATATTGGTTTTTACTTCAAAATCGTCTCCGCTATGCTTTTGTATCCTATGCGTGCCTGGTGGGGTGCTTCGTCTTAGTTTTCGTTTGC